CTTTGCAGTCTGCCTGGTTTTCTTTTCGTCCAATGACGCTGTCCCGACTTTCATCCAAGAAAGGTTCATTTTCATCAGGGAAACTTCTCACAATGCTTATCGTGCTTCTTCCTACGTCATCTCTTCCCTCATTGTTTATCTCCCATTCTTTGCCATCCAAGGTTACACATTTGCTGCCATTACCAAATACATTCTTCGCCTCAAAAGCAATGTTTTCAACTTCTGGATCATCCTCTATGCCTCACTCATCACCACCAACGCTTACGTGATGCTTGTGAGCGCCCTTGTGCCGAGCTACATCACAGGGTATGCTGTTGTGATAGCTACCACAGCTCTTTTCTTTCTGACTTGCGGCTTTTTCTTGAAGCGCTCGAAGATACCGGAATACTGGAGGTGGGTGCATTACATCTCTGCAATCAAGTACCCATTTGAGGCAATGCTATCAAATGAATTCAAAGGAATACGTTGCTACCATGGAACGCCGGCAGATCTTTCCCCCGGACCTCTAGGAGATTTGAAGATCAGTAACCTGCACTTAACATCCCCATTAGTGGATAAGAACTGTGCGATCATCGGACAAGACGTACTCTCCACGATGGATATCAACAGAGATAACATCTGGTACAATGTCTTAATCTTGCTAGCTTGGGGTGTTCTCTACCGGATCTTATTCTACATGGTCCTCAGATTCTACTCCAAGAACCAGAGAAAATGAAGACTCTTTGTATTCCGGTAGACGATAGCCGGTACTTGTTCATAGATAAACAATAACGCTTACATTTCGATTCTTGACCATGTCTGGACACATACATAAAGGAAATACAGATCATTTCATATTGGTAATCTCCAGTAAAAGATCCGACTGGGCGAGAAAGTAACATTTTATTTCCAGTACACACACATAAATTAGTAATTTTACGACACGTTTTATTTCCAGTTCCCAGATGGAAACCTCTTTCAGTTTACGACTTAAGAAAGTACCATTACAAAGGCCAAGAGCATCGCACCAGGATTTGCTCAGGTTGAGCCTGCATGTTGTGCAATCTTCCTTTCTAGTGCAGTTTTGTCTGCCCCCACCATCTTGTCAACCTCCTTACCATTTTTCACAAAGAAAAAGGCCGGAACACTGCTGATATTCCAGTTTGCCGCCACATCTCTTGCCTCATCGATGTCAACTTTCAAAAAAACGACTTTTTTGTACTTTCCAGCTAAGCTTGTATACAAAGGAGATATGAAGCGGCAAGGACCACACCATGTTGCTGTGAAGTAGAGGATTGCAAGGCGTGATGTCTTTGAAGCAGCATTCAACTTTGTCTCTAATTCTCTGGCTGAGTGTATACCAATGACTTCTCCTGTCAAAACCAAAAATGATAGAATCGAAATTAAATAGATGATATCTTGCAAATGGTGTTATGAAGTCGACATGAACCTTTAAAATACCGGCATTTTTTTAATACAAAATGGCATACGAATAAAACAAACCAAATGTCATACCATCCTTAAGAGCAGACGACGCATCCTGTTCCTGCATGAAATTGAAAGAATTGTAGTTTAGTTTCGTATGAAGGTTCTCTATCATTTTGCCATCGTCTTTGTCTTTGTCTCAAATCATGGGGTCAGCCATATCTGTCCCTTATATGAGGTCATTATTTAGTGGCACAAGGAATTAAGGGAAAATGACTACTGCCTCCACAAGGCCTTACAATGCATAAAATGAATGAATGAGCAAACAAATACCGCCACATCTACCAAAAACGATGTGATTTTCTTAACAAAAGCATTATTAACTCTAGTACAATACTCACTCGAGCTTCAGCTCGCCGCTTTCTCTCCTGTTCAGCTCTTTTTGACTCCCTTTCTTTACGCAAGCGTTCATACTTTCTGCGATGCTCTTCAATTTTGTGAACATTAGGTTCAACCTGAAATAAAAATGAAATTGTTAATGAACAGTATCATTTAACTTCTTCTAGAATGAGGAAAGTCACCTTTTTAAGCACCGAACCAATCTCCTCATCATGATCTAACTTTGATGCTACATGCAGATCACTTGCTGCCTCTTCCCATTGACCCAACATGGCCCTAGCCATTCCTCTTATTTTATATCCTTTTGCAGAGTCGGGGTTAATCTGGAAAAAGCATATACATAGAGATCACTTGTCAATATTCACTACTGTAAAAAATTCAAACTTCTTGTGCAGTGGATACAAGAACGAGTACAGTGAGGGTCATCAACCAACCTCTAAAGCTGCATTAGCATCACGAATTGCCGCATTTGGTTTATTCAGTTTGACAAAGAAACTAGCTGAAAGCAAGGATACGAGATTTATAAGGGAACGATACATATGAAAAAAGGCGACCAAAACATGAAAAAATGTAAGCACAACTAAATAAAAGCAAAAATTGAATTTAGAAAAAATAGTAATTAATTTACCTCTGGTTGCTTTTAGTATAGCTGAAGCTGGGTTCAACACTATGGCTTCTGTTATATGATCTATGGCTTCGTCCAGCTTACCTGAAAAGGATAAACAACCAATTAAAAGACAGTGAAACAAGCCGAGAAATGTCAACTAAAATGCTAATTAAAGATTCACAACAAGCAGATGCCATGCCTTCAGAGATAGCATCAATAGCTTTTGATTTTTCTATTTGTGCAGCATCCTGCACTTCTTCTGTAACTTCAATTGACGGATCTCCCATCTGGACATGAAAAATAGACCCATTACAACTTTTAAAGGAAGGATCATTTAGAGAGGTTAAAAATTGAGCATAACAGGTGAGGGTGTTATAACCCTTACCTTCTGTGGAGGATCGTTATCAGGCTCCACAACATCAGTAACATCCAACTCGATATCAGATTCAACAATGTGATCGTCATTATCCCCAGATGGTTCACGTTTGACATCAAAATGTTGTTTCGTGTCTGACATGTCACCGTCATCTTTATCCTGCTACCAGAACCAACACAACAAAAATATCAAGAAAAATATAATACAACCACACAAACACAAACAATAAAAAGAATGCTCAAAGTTTTAGGGAATTTGTCAACGTAGCATTATGGGTAATCCTGTTATTTCTTTGTCCGGTATAATTCATGGAAATAAATAACATTGAAGAGGACCACAACAAGAAATTCTCCTATATGCATGAAAAAAGTGAGCAAGAGTATGGATGTTCGGAGCCATTGAATTGCCAATCACTATTGCTTTCATTCAAATCTTAGCAACCCAACGGCTTTAAACATCCATGGTTTCTCATGGTCATAATAGAAATCCTCGAACCACAACACGATGCAACCAAAGTACTTAGGAAGTTTACTCATGCGTGCTTGTGCTTGTGCGCGTGACTGTGCCAAACTGTTATAAAACAACATGGGGAAATCCGAAACTCCTGCCACTTACAAAACCTACTGAAATTTGAAATTCTGAGAAAGTGAAAATTTCCTAGACAATTTCAAATCGAGGAAAAGTTGGAATCTTGACTGATCAGAAGCACAGCATTCCCAAAACGATAATTACGCAAGTCCATAACTCCAATATGCATATAAACATGTGATACATGAATACAAAGTACAAAAAACTAAAATTTGCACAAAGATTGAAGCTTTACTGTGAAGAAATAAGAGCTCTCACCATTTCCGGAACCGGCGGAATCCGAGCGCCGAGGCTGCAAACAAATAAACCCACATGCCAAAAACAAAGAATTAGATTCCAATCACATATACAATCAATATATACAATCGTATACAAAGATAGCAAAGTTGATACCTTTGGAGATAGGACTTGAAGAAGGCGAGAGAAGGGGTGTGAATAATTGAAGGGTTTGACTTGCACTCGCTGATGAACTCCTTCAGCTCTCCTACCTTTGCAGCATCCATTGTTCTCTCTCTTTCCGTGTCTCTCTCTGTCGCGAATCAGCCGAATCACTTCCAAGAAAAGTCCAAAGCCAAAAGCACTTGAAGCTTGTGGAAGGAATATTTTAAAGGGAAGCAACGGTATCGTTCAATTTTACGGAAAATTATATTTTTACATTAAAATGTCAAATTTATTATTATTTATTTTATTATTTATTTTTCTCTTATCACTTAAATTCAAAATTATTAAATATTTTTCATCGGTTTTCTTTTTTTAATTGTGATTCGGTGAGAACGCACCGTGTTAGTAGCGATGGACTTTGCTGCCGTTACTCAACCCTCCAATTTTTACCGCGTTTCGGCCCTTCTCGGCATTTGTTCAAGTGCTTTTTTTAGGGCAAGATCCAAAAGTAAGTGCAATAACAAAAAAATAAAAAAATAGAATAATACGTTACTACTCTACAAATGGAATCGTTCATATTATAAATCATTTGACAAATACCATTTTTGAAAAAAATCAATTAAAACTAAGGTCTTTTGGTTATCGAACTGTATAAAATCAGATGAATGAAATTGATAAAAACATTATGAATCGTCTCTGTATTTGCTACAATAAATTGACTAAACGACTTTAGTTTTAGTTTATTTTTTTTCCAAAGATGATCTTTACATAGGACTCATAATATGAACAGTTCTAATCATAATATAAAGCTATGTGATTCGAACACGAAGAGTTTTGAATACGTCTTCCTACTTATTCTTAAGTAGCCAAGTATTTAAAAAAAAAAAAAAAGAGTTGGAGGAGACAAGAAGGCATGCGGAAACCACTTTCGAAATTTAAGATTGGCTCAAGTGCAAGGGGACATGTACACTAGTACATTACTCTGATCAACTGACTTGTTTCACGTAAGCTACTTTTGTTTGAGTGTTTAAAACTTAATCCCAACAAGTTTGTCAATTATGTCATGTAATCATTGCATTTTTCTTTCTTTTTTGTGCTAATTGCCATAACTTTTAATTTTCACTTCGATAAAAAAAAACACTGAGACAAAGAGAGCCGAACATAAGACCTCAGGTGTCGAAGTAACTTCTAACCGCTTGAATTACAAGTCAAATACATTCATTTATCCTATGATTGTAATTTGCATTCTCAGAAGGCAAAATCTATTTGCTTTCATTCCATTCATGTCAAATTGTACAACATAAACATATCAATACAAAAACATGGCCTCTAGAATTTGCCCTTACGATGCAGGAAGGTAAAACAATACATTTTTACAGCATAGTGAAAAGTAAAAAACATAAAACTTTAACCATACATCTATATTATCTAATCCTTTAGGTCAAAAAATTGATCTTACAACTACCAGCACACAAGCAACTGTTAAAACAATGATCTATGCCAACATCTCCGAAGCAGTAGGAAGCTTTTGTTGTTTCTTCCCATTTCGACTGCACCCCACCGCCGTAAGCGCTAATTTATAGACTGGGGAGGACAAGAACTCGAAGAGTTGAGCGAGAAACTCACACCTTCCGATCCGGGAGTGCTGCAGTCTGGAGATTTTTTACTGACACTGTATGGCACCGTGCTCATCATCCTAAACACACAACGTTCTGTGTCAGTTGATAAAACTTGGTACTCAAGTCTAGGTGCGATAAAAGAATCGATAAGCAAAGAGTTAGTGATTGTATCACATTCACGTCTAAGGCAATTAACTTCAATCCATACGTGTAGGTTTTTATGCAAAAGGCCTCGATGCAATAGAAGCGGAACCATTTGATATAAGTTGTGATTTGTTTTGTGAGATGGCCGATGTGGGACTTTTTGCTTTGTTCTACAAATTTGTTTCTGTATAAGTTAATGTAAGCATGTACTAGAGGGGAAAGGTAACCGTTGAAATTTACCTCTCCTTGCGCTTCTCAAAAAACCGGGCCAAGGATGCTTTACGTGATTGAGGCACAGGTACTGCAAACACGGGAACAGAGATGTTATTCAAGCTCATATATTAACAAATTCAATGAAAAAACAGGAACAGAAGACATTGTTTATCACAAAGTATAACAGTAACACTAGCATACACACAAGAAAACACACAAATTATACCTGCAGGAATCAGATTCGTCACAGGCGATCCCACTGAACTGACTACTGTAGAAGGCTCTGAGCGGTCAACAGGAGATGCTGAAGTTCCTACTGGTTTCACTATAGCTATTTCATTGGTGCTATTAAATGCTCCTCCAGAGTTAGAACTCGCGTATGAAGTTTCAGAAAGAGGACTTGGAAGTGCAGAGACTGAAGATGTAATATGGGACTGGTTCCTGAAAAAACAGTCGCCTCCTAGTGAAGGCCTAGGTATTGGTGCATGCACTTGAGTTACGGATGTTGCCTTACAATGAGTTGGAGATGATCCATTTCCAGCCAGCAACATAATAGCCTGGGCCTAAATAGAGAAATAAAGAGATTAAAAACAAAGAACCTAATTTATGTGCAAACTTAAGAATCAAATATTTAAATATACAATACCTTCTCTGAAGATATATCATTATAAACGTTCACAGAACCAGCATAAAAGATGGTTAACTGAGCAGGTGCCCCAGAAGAATTGGATGCATTCCTGCAAAAGTAATTCAACTTAGCATCTAGAATTTCCAACTAGTTATGATTCAATATACGTTGTACAATTGCATTTGCTTACAAGCAGAAATGTGGTCTAAATATGATCTGTGTTAAAGTACCTGAGATCAGTGGTACCAACTACGGAGGTTGTAGAAGGAAGAGCAGATACAGGGGCCAGAACCGGAACTCCTCCAAGTGGTTGCAGTTTTATGGTAGAACCGGTATGCCCAACAGGAGCTTGGGACTGGAGAACTGGAGAACTCAAAGTAATCGGAATCCTTTGGTTGTGTTGGCTAACTACTGGGTATATCTTTACATCTTGTGATTGATGAACTGAACGTGCATCAAATTGAGGCATAGGATATACTGTCGTTGCACAGTGGTTTCCAGCTTGCTTATCAAAAACGAAATTTTTCTACAAAATTTGTGCAAAAATGAGCCTACATTAAAGCAACTTTAAATAAACAACGATTCAAACTTCACTTGTGCTTCTTCAGTAAACCAATAAGTAAGAATGTTCCCAAATCCTAAATACCCGAGGCGATGTTGAAAAAGATTCAGAAAGTAAGAGAAGAAATACCTGAATCCCACCAGAGAACGACTTCTGGCTGGAGTGAAAAGCATCAGCAGTTGATATAGTCATAAATACAGATGAATTATCATGAGCAGTTTTTCTTGGCCCATCTTCCTGAGGAGCCTTGAAAGACAGGAATTGCGGAGGTGCAGAAACCTTGTTTGAAAACGACCACAGCATCCCTGAACTTCTTGGCTCCGCTGCAAAATCAATAAAAATGGAGTGTCGGGCTAATAGTTTGAACAAATGAATTCCTTCACCGTGCTGATGATCGCTTAGAGTACCTCACAAATAAGCAATATGGGAAGTTTGAGGTTATACGGCTCTGCAAATAGATGCCAACAAAAAACATGTTTTCCTTGGAATGTAGTTACAGTAATTTATGTCTGAGAGTGCAAAAACAAATCTCAACAAGTGTGTTCATCACAGCTGTCTAACTGAGATGAACAAATTTTCAACACAACGAATCTTTAAGCAAAGAGATTACCATAAACGATAATATGAATACAGCCATATGTAATGCGCGAAATGTTAACTTACGTTATTTTCTAAATACATGAGGATGCAGAAAACGACCAATGACCATAAAGAATTAGCAAGCTCCTACAAAAGACCTCAAAGATCTAGCAAACTCCTGCAATATTTTATAATCCTCCTTTTGGAACATTTGCGGAGCACACTCTGTGATAAGAAGCCATACACTATAAAGTATTATTATTATGAGTATACTTTATATCGCGTATGTATATTTAATACGTATTTTATTATAATTCTTGGTACGATCCAGAGCGGCAGAATCTATTCACAAGAGCAGATTCAAGAACAATATATATAAAATTCAGAAGACCACAAGTTCCATGTTATCAAATGGAATTATTCAAATACACTGCCTTATAAAATTCATCAATCATAAACTTAATATATATGTTTCACATTTGCATAAGGTTTTTTAATACAAATGTTGTACTACCTGCCAGCCTTGATCAATGCAGAAATTCTTTAAATATGAAAGCAAACGTGACACGTTGCTTTAATCCATGACATCTCATACACACGTTAGTGGAAGAATAAAATTATCCTGCCTCACCCAACAAACTAAAATATGGAAGAAAACAAAAGGCACATTATATTAAGTTAGCGGGGAGTGTAAAACTAAGACAACTACACCGTGTTCTTGTAACCAAGTCACCAGCAAGCAAACCCAAACGTTTCTATAAGATTGACTGACTGACTCACAAGTCAACAAAGTTACATTCAGCAACCCCAATTTACCAATTTACGTATAAATCCTTTTTTATTTTTTGTTATACAAGCAATATTCTACACTAAATTCATTAAGCTACGGAGAGGGGCATTCAAACTTGGGTGCATAGGGAAGAGCATATTACTCTGGCCAACTTTACTAAGCTGAAGTATGTTGTACGTGAAGAAAGTTAAAGTTCCACCATAAAACCAATTGGCAATATGAGGAGTAGCCCAACTACTCATAAGCACATGCAAGCTCTCAACATGCCCTCTCACGTGTGGCAAATTTTCAAGCCTAACTTGTGGACAACACAAATTGGATGACTGGAGCACGTGTGACCATTAGGCTTCACATATGGGACAACCTCTTTTGATACATGAATAAAGTTGAGGTTCTACCATAAAACCAATCGGTAAATATGGAGAGTAATCCAGCTACTTACAGCCACATGCAAGGTCCCTCATTTCCCTTATGTTGATTCACTCTCCACAGTATGCATGCACAAACCAACCTTAAATCTATAAAAACATTGTAATTGAGTTGAATCGATATTTATCTTTACTGCTACAGACTTGTAGCTCAAGTAATTAAGAGCGTTTACCTATGCATCCGAGGTCATGAGTTCAAAAAATCAAATCCCCCTCCCCCCAAAATAACGCTTGTGTCGAAAACAAAACGTATCTTTACTCAGTCAGCAAGGTGGATGCTTTTGATCAGGAAAATGGGATTAAGAAACTAAACTGCAAATTAGACTTAACTGAGGTGCCAAGCTCCACATGCAACCAAAAAGATTCAACACAAGCTCAAAATACTAATTACAAACAGAGAAATTCATCCACAAGAAAATCAAACTCCATAAAATACGATTAATAACTAATAAAAAAGACTTGAAAGCAAACCTGAATTCTTGGTTTCTTTATTGGGTTCTTCCTTCAGAGTCGCACCACCACTGTTTGAGCTCAGACCCAGAAAATCCCTCTCCATTATTCCAACCTTTCAGCTCAAAAACCCACAAATATTTCAGACCCAAATTCCACCAAAACCAACAAAGAAGTTTACTTTCTTGAATTCTTTAGAACCCCAGCAGGAAAAAAGGCCTGAACTTTCAGAAGCAGAGCTCAAAATTCTTGCTTGTTTGGATAGAGAGTAAGACGGATACGCATGGATGAGGAGGTCTAGCTATATAGTAACAATTCTCAGTAGCTCCCCTTTCTCTCACATTTCAATTGGGTGACCGTGTTGAATCTGGACCGTCGGATCTGTTAAGATTGTATTTTTTTGTGGGGTGGGGGTGACCGGCCACCGGCTGGTTCTCGATCGGAGATCTCGAGTTGCCGGTCGAAGCCCACGTGCGGCACCCTACTCCAGCCTTTTGATGCGTCGCAGCTGGTTTGAGTAGTGAGGAGTGATGCTGGGCGGGACACGTGTCGGGAAATTCCATTTTATATAATTTTTAGTATTTTCTTTAATTTCATTTTTTTAGATTTTTATTTTTGTTGGAAGTGTTGTCGTTTTTAGTAAGGTTGGTTTTTTTGCATGTGGGCATGTGGGTGACGTTTTGAGGAGGATAAAGAGGGAAACGACGCTTTCTTTGACCCTGGTGAAACGACGGCATTTAAGCATGAAGGCGCAATCAAATGCCGTCACGTGGTGTGACTTTAGATGGTTAAATATTTTACGTTATACTTTGTAATTTAGATGAATTTAGCTATGTTTACATTATTTGGCCTTTTGCATTTAAGTTTAAATTTTTTTTCAAAGGATTATGTTTATGTTACATGGTGTTTCAGATTCATCAACTCAGAGAAATAATCAATAAGTATTTAAGCAATACATACATTTTTTATTGGAGATTTGGAAGAAAGAAAAAAAGCTAGATAAATCAACTATTCAGTCTAAATTTGCAAATTATATAATAGATTACTAATATAAAATAAGTACACTAAATTAACAATTAGAAATAATTCCAATCATCTACAACTACGTCATATAATTTATAAAATTTGGTATAAATATTTCGTTTCCCTGATATTACTTTTGATAAAAATATACATGTGTCTTTGTCTCTGGAAAATCGATTCCTTTCTTTTGTCCTACACAAGCGTGTGATGCATTTTGTAAATTAAATAATTTACTACTTATTATTCTAGTGTAATGTGCACATGAAGGTGGGCATGTGGATGGCATGAGATAAAAATAATCCAAATGCTTATATTATTGTATGTAAATTAGACTTATGGAATGCATTTGTCCTTGTATAGCATTATTAAATCGGATGTGCTATTTACACATTATTTTTATATTTTGTGAACTCTTTCAATTTTTGATTGCTAATTCAAATAAATTGAAGAAGATTAAATGATAGAAACTAACATTAAGAGATAAAAATAGAAGTGTGGATAGCACTACCCATAAAATATCCATTTGAGCATAATATATGTAAGTGTAACTAGGGATGGGCAATGGTTATGCGGGCGGGTAACCGCGGTTAATTTACCCATAACCGTTTATGCTCATACCCGCATAACCGTTTACCCGTTGGGTAATTGTCTAAACGGTTATACCCATACCCATAACCGTTTATAAACGGTTAACCATACCCATAACCGCATACCCATTTAACCGTAACCGTTTAATACTCGTTTACCCATTTATCATTTTTAACCCGTTTGTCTTCTTTTTTTTTACCATTACCTTTTTTTCACCCGTCTACATGTTTTTTAACAACTTGAAAATTAAAAAAAAAATTGTCATAAATTTTTTTTTGACAATTAAACACCGTTATGGGTACATTCATCATACATTTCCATGTTTTAATTGTTTAAGTCCTTATATCATTCTAATAATTGAAATAATAGTTTACGGACGATATTTTTAAATGTTACCAACGAAGGTAAATATAATATTTGCTAAGTATTATTGGGTTACAAAAATTGTTTAGAAGACATTTCTGTCAATTTCACGTTACCCGCAAGGAATTTAAATTAATTTGGCCAATTCCTTGATGATGAGAATCATCATTCCTGTAATAGTATTATTGAGAGAATGACCGATGAATTCATTGCTAATTTATTGGGTGCTAAGTATTATTGGATCGAGAACATGGTTTGTGTTAGTTTTACATATATAAAATAAATGGGTAAACGGTTACCCGTTTATAACCGTGGTTAATACCCGTAACCGCCCATTTAAATTTCGCAGGTAAACGGTTATACCCATAACCATTTATTTATCTAAACGGTTACCCATAACCATAACCGTTTAATTTAACTGGGCGGGTAACCGCGGTTACCCATAACCAATGGGTATTTGCCCATCCCTAAGTGTAACCAACATAATTGGTTTGTGAAGGGTGATATTATAATAAAAATTAAGGGATTGACAGTACACTCTTTATAAGTTGCTGCATTTTTGCTAATCACTCTCAAGTGGTGGTAATGTTTACTACCATATTTATTACCATCAGATGAGTTTCAATTTCGAGATTTGTGTCTAAAACTATACAAATCTCGAACATAAATCTTAAAATTTAACCTCATCCAATGATAATAAACAAAACAGTTAGCTAGCGATTGAGCATTATTGTCACTTGAAGTAGTGAGCAAAAATATTCACATACAACTACAAAGCAACTTGTGTATAAGAATAATATAATTAGCTTATAAGATCTTTGGCTTTCTCTTTAGCCTTTTGACCATCCAAAAGTTTGTGGACTTAACAACTTTTACATTTGATGAAAAAAATGTTTCCAAATAAAATAGTTGGTGGTCTTCCTCACTCGGGTTCTATGTTCTCTAGGTTGAGATTTTTTCTGAATCTTTGAGTTTGAAACAGATGGACGGGGAAATTCGGAACACTATTTAAATTTTGTGATTTCAATTAACACATTTTACTAGCCTACTTCATACAAAATTAGCTCTTGAACAGTTAGTATCTCTTTCTCTGTGTTAAACAGCCTGAATTTTCAAATCCTCAGCTTTAGACACAAAGACTTGAAGAGAATCTCAATTCTCTCCCACCCTCTTCCTCTCTTAGGAGAGATTTTTTAGTGTGACCAGAACACGGAATAGTACATCACGTGTTATTATACAAATGGCGAGATATGTGTGTTAAACAGTTAATAACTTAAAAAAATAAAAATTTCCACTTATATAGAAAATACATGATGTACCACCCATATTCCGGTCACAATAAAAAATTTTCTCCTCCCTTAGAATCCAACGAAACTATTTTTAAATAAATAAACAAATAGTTAGTATTTGGACCCCGTCATGGCCCATGCAGCTCTATTCACCCGATCCGTAATGAAGGAGGCATTACCAGAATCCCGGATTACAAATTGGCAAATTTAACCCACCTCATTGTGTGACGGGCCTTGAGTTGGGCCTTATGATGTTAAATGGGCTCAAAATGTTAAGCAACTTGCAGGCAAGACAAGCCCAACTAGTGGGATAGCCCAGCTTCTATGGGTCAATGTTTGCTTTAACGGATAATAACCCCTTAATAATGCGGTATAGCGTCCCTCAATAAAAAAAAAAAAAAAAAATGCGGTATAGCAGACAGTTAGTTATTTATCTTCATTTGTAAGTAATAAGTCTTAGATTTGATTCTCGCAAAAGGCACAAAAGACGAATTTGAACCATATTATTTCTAACTCACTGCAAGGCTAAGTCTTAGTTCATTGTGAGACTAAATCCACCACTTCCTTTTCGTGTAGATAATATCGTTTGTTAAAAAAAATATGTGGTAAACGGTATTTAACTAAAATTATAAATAAAAGATTTTAAGTTTGAATCTCATAAACGACGAACGAACTAATTCATTGTACTCATGTAAAAATATATTTTCTTCATGTGGTTTGACTTTCACCCTACTTATTTTTTTTCCCTTCCCTTCCAATTCAAGTTTTAATGCATGTGACCTTTGTAAGTTTTTTACTCTTATAAAAAAAATTACAAAACATGGTAACATAACATACCCTCTATAAAAAAAAAAGGTTAAAAAGGTACATTCACAAATTTCCTAGAAAGTCTTAAAACGTTATATTTCATTTAATTTTTATATGGTTTCTTTTGTTTTTAACTCAAGCAATAATTTGGCGAAAACTAATTTAAAACACAATAAGAAATTTGATTTTTTTAATTTTATATGAGCGATAATAAACAGAAATTCAAACTCAAGATCTGAACGGCAAAAATAAATATTTTGATATAAACGTCATGTAACGTTACAAAAGCGGTTCATTCAAAATACAAACGTATATATAAAGGTACTAAATTAGAAATATAAATTCCAAACATAGAAAATTGTTTTAATAAAGTTGGAAATCAAGATTTGGGGAAAAATGATTAGACGCGGAGGCGCTATATCCACGCCC